AAAACATGCAATTGCACCTACTTGACGATTAGCGAAGTTGATGGGTTGAAGAGGTAGATGAGACATCTGATTAAGGGTTTAATATATATTAAGGAAAAGGGAGTTAACTCCTAGAAACTATAATGAGGATAATTTGAAGCGAGAGGACAGATAACTGTGAAGTACGGTTCACATGCTCTTATAATTTGAGCTTTAAACAGTCGTCGAATATAAAATAATCGCATAAAAAAAGGCCTACTTTCATCATTTTTATATGGACCACGTCCTTCTGATTTTGCTTTTTGCACATCGGCTTAGATATTGAATTAAGAGTATACCAAAATCTTAAAATAATGTCGCGAGATATGTGAATCGAAATTTTTATAAAGAAGATGAACAGAGAACAGTTAAAGAACAAAGAAAAGATCAGTGTACCAACTACTTCATGAACATTGTTTCTATATCAAACTATATTGCTAGATGACGCTATATGCAAGAGGTAGTTTTATTACGTTATCATTACACTGATATGTGTTTGAAAATGAAATCAATCACATTTCACTCTTCTTCTTCCCGAGCCTAGTCTGTTGTGCAAGACCACCGTACAGAAAAATATGAAAACTTCAGAAATGCGTGCAATACTTTTATTCACCTTGAATCACAACAGTGTCAGCGTGACTGATTAGACGGAAAGTAGCTATATGATTTTGAGTAAATATAAAAAGATTTGTTGTTCAGGAAATTAGTGGTATTGATATTTTTGCTCATTTATTTGATTTGATTTAGATGTGAAAATTGCCCAACACTCAATTATTATGTCCTTATCTCTAGGAACTTTTTTTTCGTTCGACTTTTTCTCGGCTATGTATTTTCTGTCAGTGGTCTTCTCATTAGTTTCTTCAATTGATTTCATTATGTATTATATGGTCTTTCAATCGAGTTTTATACAGAGAGATTAATTATCATTGAGCAACCATTATATGGAGTTGTAAGTTCTTTTTTCCTCTCATTCATATTTCATTACAATTTATTTTTAGAAATGACATTTGTTTATCAATGGTAGTAAGTACTTTTTTTTCGTTTACTTAATTTTTCTCTTGAGTTACTTAAAATTTAATAAAAATAAAAGTTAGAGTAGAATGCATTCAGAGAAATGAAATTTAGTTAAAACTCTATTACAATATGAATGTTATATGCACTAAAGATATGATAGTATGTAAAGAATTTGTTATATAATATTTCTTTTCGTGTCTTTATTTGTTAAACAGTCTTATCCTGAAATTGATTAACCAAAAAAAAGGAAGATAAATTTTTTTTCTGCTTATTTGTAATTGCTCAGATCAAATTTAGATGTAACTCTTTATATAAACGGCTTGTCCAAACGTAATGCTGTTACATTTTTGACATACTTCTTGTCAATTATCTCGGAAATTGTAAGAGCTAGAAAGTTCTTTCAAATGCCATTCAACTCATTTTACCATGTTCTATTTATGCTATAAAAACAAAATTTACAGGCGGATGTTTCGAGTTTCCAAAGGGTTTTTGTGTCGCGTAACGCTGGTACATAAAAAGACCCTAAGTTTGGCGTCCTCTTGCTTGAATTCTAATATCCTGCGAAAGTCGATATCCAAATGAAATGCATTCAGAGCAAATTTTTTAGAGCATCAAATGAGCTTTTCAAAGGTAAAAATACTTTTCATGTAACTATTTTTACTCATTTAAGAAAACCGAAAAAAACCGTAACGCTGTTACACCTTTGTTTTTGTAAATTAATATCATCTTTTTTATTGGGCTTAGATTCATTGGAATCATTAGTTTTTATTCCTAACCTGACGCTTCTACGACTCTAACCACTAAAACTCGAGTCAGTATCTAGAGACACTTCTTAGATATCTATCATGCTCAAAATGCCTTCTACAGCAAAGTGTACGGTTGCTATAGGTTAAAAACACACTCATGAGGGAACATTTTCAACTCTCCAATCACTTTTTGTTTCGGACTCTATCCATACTGTTAAACTCATTGAGACATGAAAAAACTCAAAAAGATAAATGCCCTTAGGTCTTCTGTCCAAACTTACAGGCACTTTACTGCAATTTTAACCTACGACATGGTATATTCCGAAAAGTCAAATTATAACATTTCGAGTCGAGATTATGCCCACAAGTGGGTCTATTTATGAGTAAAGTGTTCTGAAAATTTCAGCTCAAAAAATGCTTCCTTCCTGAGATATTTAAGTCTAAAAAACTAAAAACTCTAGTACTTTCCATAGGATGTGAGTGATTCTTTGGATTTCGATATCTCAGGAAGGAAACATTTTTTTGAGCTGAAATTTTCAAAACATTTTACTCACAAATAGATCTATCTGTGGGTCTAATATCCACTCGAAATACTGCAATTTGATTTGCTGGTATATACCATGCCCTAGGCTAAAATTGCAGTAAAACGTCTATAAGTCCCGACAAGAGACCTAAGGGCAATTATCCTTTTGTAGTTTTTTATACTTCAATGGGCTCTGCATCATGCATAGAGTCAAACTCAAGAGCGATTAGGCAGCTCAAAACGTTTCCTTAGTATATATGAGCTACTATGACTAAAATTAATCATACCCAGAAACATCAGAAAATAAACAAAAGTTAGGAGCTTTTAGAGAGATTTTTCACTATATTAGTAAACAAAAGGTCAAAATCAGATTTGAATTCTATCCAGTCGCTATCTGATGCTTTGTAATATTAAATTTATTGCTCAATTATATAAATTGAAGGTAGTACCAAAAATCAAGTTTTAGTAATAGCGTTACATTCATTTACTTCAAGATGCCATATTTTCCAGAAAAAAATTAGTACGTCAGAATCGCTTTAAAAAGTTAGTATTGATACACGAATTTGTTTACTAATATTTCGTAAGTAGCTCATTGGAATTTTGAAATAAGGTCTTTTTCATAATGCTGTTACAGCAAAATTGATCAAGTTTTATTTCGAGAATATCTTAATGTGGAGGAAAGGACAAAAGTCTATTATTTTGCCAAAAGAAAGATCGTACTTGATAGTTTACAAAACATTTGAAAGCCGGGTTTCGGAACTAAACATCAAAGTACACGGTTAGTTTCAAAGTAAGATAGAAAAAACTGTAATCTACAATAGAGTAATTAGTGCTTGAAGTATACATTTTTAAAATTTCACAGAAATAGTTTTTCAAATAACAAAATATATTGTTCTACACTTTCAAGTGTCTTCTAAAACGTCGTACAAACGTTCATTTCGAACTTCGCAATGAATACTTAATGCCTGGAGTAGTGCATTACGTGGACAAGCCATAAAACCTGAAGATTTATATACAATGGGTCAAGGAAATTCCATATGGTTAGGTACTCATCGATATGAAATTGATTGGTTACTCGGGTGGGTGTGGGTTGTCACACAATGATTAGGTTTGGCTGGTGTAAATTTTTCTTTTTTGTTATAATACAACTGATTTATGTATACTATGTAATATTACACGGTTCAAAAATGCTCGAAAAATAATTTCTTCGAGCATTACTAATAATTGGTTCGTGTTGGCATTTTACTGAATCAATTTTTCTTCGACATATTTGGGATACAAATAAAGACGTCTTGAACATGATATTCAACAATTTGTTAATAATTATCCAAAAAATGATTTTTTTACTGTATGTTTATATTTAAATTTAATTTAATTATTATTTTTTGTTTAAAAAAAAATGAATAGTTATTTCTATTACATGAAGGTATTCGTTATGCAAACGAAAAACGTCTTGAAAGTATGCAATAGCCTGACAAAAAAGTTTATCTGAATTACATTATCATATTTTATTAAGAATAAAAGGTTTTGTCTTTCTTATGAAAAGCATGAATAAATATAGTATGCCTTTTTTTTTTGTTTTAGTTTATAATATATGTCGTTTTTCTTTAGTAACTGCTGTTTATAACATTACAGTTGCTTTTCAATCTCCAAAAAATCCTGAATTATCAAAATCTTTTAATTGATTATTCATGTCCAGCAAGAGCTTTTATTCAACGTATTGCAACAAATGATATTCCGTATAACGATGAAGATAAATACGCTCAATTAATTCATAAACTTTTTCAAGAAAAAGTGTTTTAATTAATTAGGTTTTTCTTTTTGTTCTTTTAAAAAATATTTAAGAATAAAATATTTGATTATCTTTACAACATGAAACATTTGATTGCACTGGGAATTCAAAAGTAACAAATTTATCACATAAAATGCAAGAATTAATTATTGAACTTGTCTGTTTATTTGTTGTTGATTTACCTTCATTTTATTTATTTATCAAAGTTTTACTAGTTGCTTATCTGCTTTCACAAACTGTGTTTTTCATTATTCTTATGGCAAGTACTTGTACTAATACTAATCCACTTATAAACTTTAACAGACTCTTAAATATTATCCGGTTTGCAACAATTATATTTATAAAGAAAAAAATAATAATTTAACTATGTCCATAGAGCGGTACGAACAATCCCTTAAAAAAAGTGAAATAAAATAAAATAATCTGTAAGGAAAAATACAATGAATTAATTAATAAGATTTCACCTTCATGAGTTCGAAAACTGAGTGAATAATTTTCTTCGTCATGAAAATAAATTAAATATTCAACAATAAGACTTCGTAAACCTTTTACTTTTTCTTGTATCTTAAAAAAAAAAAGTAATAAATGTAGAAACATCGGATTTAAATCTGAGTGTTATGTGTACCTCACAAAGTGATCTAAACAGATGAGTCATCATAGCATGTATAGACATCTGAGTTGCTTTATCAACCGTGTTGTTCTTCTATCCTGTAAAATGATTGGTTCGAATGGTTACTCAATAATGGCAATTCTTTTTCATTTTCTCATCGACGTAAATGATTACTCGATGTTTTATTTCAGTTCTACATGAATATTGTAGGTCATTGATTTCAGATGAAGAAAAATGTTTATTATATGATCAAATTAATGAATAAGAGTTGATTTCAAAGTTCAGATTTAATAGACATTTTCAAAATTTTTTTTTCTATCGTGTGAATGTTTGATAATGGTCATCGTTCCGAACGCCGTTAAAAAAACAAATCGTCTTTGTCTATTAGTGATTTTATTAAATAATCTGATGAAAACAGCATTAAACAAAATAATCGTCTACGATAAGTGAGAAGGTACATTAATGACTAAATAATTTTTGTTTTATTTAAAAGTTTAACTATTATAGATCACCATAAAAGAAATATGTAATAGAAGTGATTTTATTATTCATGTTAAACAAAAGAAAATATACTAAAGTTTTATATTGATAAAGGTAACTAATCAAAGAAAAAAAACATGTTTTCTTACTCAAGAAAAATAAATCATTTGTTTTTTTTTAAATAGGTATCAAACACGGCAAGAATATTGTATTTAATAGCGAATATGATTATGAATCAGGTCTTCAACTAGACAATATGAAAATATTGTTTTAATTTGACTGATCGATTAATATAGTTTTCTTTCATCATCGGTCTATTTTTTCTTTGAGTTCGTATTATAGTAATAAGATAATATCTTGACAACAACGAAAAAAAAGTGACCTAAATACAACCTTGAAGAATACCAAATTTTCAGAATAAATGCAAAAATAATAGATATTAGTTTTTACTTTTTATCACTTCGCTTATATATTAGTCAAAAGATGATTATGAGAACTACTTTCGTTGAATGCAAAATTTTTCAAGATAAAAGTTTTTTTACTTGTATAGATTTCAGTAGATGTAAATGGACTGATTCTATCGAAACGAGAATCTTTAAGCGGAGTTCATTCTAATTTAGAACCAAAGCCTTCCTATTTGGATTTAGGTGTAGACTTGCAACATAGGTTTGGATTTGTGTCTGAATTGAAGCAAATCTATACAAATAGTTTGAAATTTAGTAATAGATCTTTTAGATAGAACTAAACTATCCAAAAAAATTTTCTTTTCACGAATAAAACAAAATTGTTCTCTGTTTGGAGAGAATTTCTTTAAAAATTATGGTATCTTGTATTACCAAATCCAAGTAATTTGGGTCATTTAAGACCAGATCTGAATATTAGGAATCATATTTAAATTTGAATTCAAAACTACATCACACCAAATCTTAAAGCTTCGGATTTGTTGCATTCTCTGCAGTAAATTTTATTTCTCGAAATAAATCGAAATGTATTCATCATATTTCAAATATGTTTTATAAACGATAATTGACCGAAATCTTAACACTTTAGTGATAAAAATAATTTTATACCATGTCTAAATAATTTTTAAACTTATCTTGTTTAATTTATTTTAGAAATAAATAATATAAAATGTGATTAGATTTTATTTTAATAGATTCGATACTAAATATCAAGAAGAATATTTATTCATTTGTAATATATATTTTAAATAATTTTAGATGTCTTCATCATTATTATTATCTAATCTTCGTATTCTTATTCATCCACATTATTCATTGAATATATTTCTATCTGTTTTTTATCTTCTATTAAAACAATTAATACCAAAATCTTTATGTTCATATATATTTATAAATGATACAATAACAACACAAGATACTCAAGTATTATTACTTTTAGCAACAATAATAACAATTCGTGGACGAAAAGCTTTAACATGGTTACATTATATTGATAATGTATGTAAATATTCAAAAATGGCAAATTGTCTTTTATTTTATCGTGAAGAATCTTATGTTTTATTAATATTCTATGCAATATTATGTCTTCTTCATTTTCTTTTTTTTCCTTCACCTGAACCAACAGGTAAAACAAATATTTTTTATTATCGTGCAAATAATTTAGATAATGAAATTCGTGCTGATCCTCGTTTAACATGGTTTGTTTGTTTTTATGCTCCATGGTCTCCTCCATGTCAAAATTTTTCAAGTGTTTTTGTTGATTTATCAACACGTTTTGGTGATTTAAAAACATTTAAATTTGTTAAATTTGATGTTAATCGTTATCCAGCTGAAGCAACTAAATTTAAAATTGATACATCAACATTTTCTAAACAATTACCAACTCTTGTTTTATTTCAAGATGGAAAAGAAGTTAAACGACGACCACAAATTGATGTTAAAGGAAGAGTTTTAGATTCACAACGTTTATTAACAGCTGATTATTTAATTGATGAATTTGGTCTTGCAGAAATTTATACAAGAGAAGCAAATAAAATTAAAGCTAATACTAAGAAAGAACAATAACTTCTTTTTTTTTTGTCTCGTGTTTTTTTTATATTACTTTTGTTAGGATGTCGTTTTTTCTATCAATTTCAAAAAAAAAAAAAAAAGTTAGACTCAGTATACGCTCTTATATTCTAGAAATAAATATTAAAAAATCAAATTAATTTTTCATAGTAAAACATATTCGTAAGGTGTTGGAAGTGAAACAGATATATGTCACAATCGAGATTTTTAATGTAGGGAATGCTCTCCTCCCAAAATGTCTGACTTTCTGGCAATTTTTGACAGTTTTGTGGTAATTTTGGACAGAAAATAGATTATGAAACACCATTTGTCTTTCGCTGGCAGAAAATGAAATAAAAATAAGCAGAAAATGTGTTTACAAGGTGAATATGATTGGAGTGGAATGGCTTGATCACAGTGACTTTCGTTCTTCTCCCCTCTCCTGATCATCACTTGTAGCGCTCCGAGGATGAAAACATTTTGCAGAAATTTTAGCTTCTCGCACGCTCTAAAAAGTATCGATAACTCTAGTCACAATCTATGAATTTAATTATAAACTGACAGTGATATTTAAAATTAATCGAAAAGAAGTAACATTCTAATTACGGCAAGATGACAAGTGGATATTTTTTCTCTGTATTTTTTTCGTCTTGAAGTCCACAGCCAAGATTTTTTTCTATCGATAATAATAGATGATCGAAAAATAATTTGACAAAATGTTCATTCATTTTTTAGCTTCTTAAAGGAGACTGTAGACGTTTGAAAATATTGGATTAGGATCAACATTTTGCATTGTTTCCGAATATAGCTTCAAAATTTCTCTAGGACGTCCGTTTTGGGAGTTATGAACTGATCTTTTAAAAGCACGAAAAATAGGTTTGAAGGAAGAAAATTGATGCTTCTCCTTTACTACATACATTATACTGACGAGTTTTTTTTTCATAGATTTAAAAGTGAAATTATTCTCTATCAAGTGACATAAGAATCAGAAATAGCCGAACTCACTTTGCAAGTCTGTTTTCTATAGAAATTGAAAAACTTGCTTAAATTGACATGATGTGCCTTACTAAAACACTCATTGTTGACAAATGACTTGCAGTAAGCTAATGCTATTTTATAGGAAAATATATGCTCTTTCATTCGCTGTATTTGAAATCATTGTCACTTCTACTTTGGGTAAATTTTGATGCTCTGAAGTTCTTCCAAATTTAATTTACGGACCTCTGAAAGGTCGGCTCATAACTTCTAAACCAGAAGCTCTACAAAAATATTGAATCCACATTGTGCAATAATAAAATTTTGGTTTCAACCCAATGTTCTCAAGATTTTGCAGGCTACTTTAAGACGCCCCCTACAATAGATTTTCCACTTAGAATGGTCTATTTGGGCTGAAATTTCCAGAAATGACTGCGTTTCTTAGTTGGTTTCTACAATGAAGGTTTTACAGTTAACATTTTATAAAAACAAAGTAAATTAACATTTAAATAAACAATTTCATTTTGTGTTAAGCTTTATCTGATCTACTCGATGAACATTTTATTAGAATGGATATGAACTTCTACTCATTTTTTGTTTTGAATACTTGCCATTCATATGAAAACTTCAACAATAAAATAACACTAAAAACGAAATTATAATCGATTTACACTAATCATGAAAATAAAGCGCAAGATTGTTGCTAGATTAGCCAAGAAATTGTCCTATTCCGTGATGAAAAAGAATCAGACTTGATTTCCAAGACTCATGACTATCATTTCAATGGCCGAAAATGATTATAAAACAGCGTATTACTGCATTAATATTCGCTGTTTTGGATCGTTTACGGCGCTGTTTCCTAGAATCTGTAGAACTGCATGATTTTTTCCAGACTGAAGATTTTTCGTCTTCCCAGCCAGGACTCTGCTTACCAAATTCTTGTCTAGTTTGCAAAATCTTTCCAAACAATGAAGAATCTTAAATTAAAGATATAGAAAAAGAATCTTGAGAGATTTTTCAGCAAAACCAAAGAATCTGAAAAGAATAAAGACAAGAATATTGACTTATAATATCTGAGTTTTCTAATTTTCAAAAAGAAAATTATCCTCGAAACATAACTGCAGGAATTCATTTTTCAAATCATTAAATATTAAAATGAAACATTGAGAAAGACTTCATTTTCTATGTATTGAATTTAAAGTTTATTTAAAAACAAAAAACTGAGCTTTTATTCTATTACTCAATGTAATATACAAACAATAAGTTCCAGATCTGCAAAAATTTCCATGAATCAAATTAAACAAAATTATTATAGAAGACTTTTAAAATAAGATTTAAATTTAGCCGGAAGAAAAACTAAATCAATACATTTGATATCAGATCAGAGACTATCACAAGGCAGGCTAAGGCTTCTAAATTAAGTATGTCTATTACAAGATCTAAAATCTTGATAAAAATTATATGATTGATTTCGAATTTAGTACCAATTTTTATTTCTATAATTTTGAAAGAATGTCACAACCAAACTCGATACGTCATCAAATATCATTACGTACTGGAGAGCAGCACTGATGTAAAAAAACTAATTATCATGGATTTTTTTTTTATATTTAAAAATTGATTTAAATATTATTGTTGTGATCAGATTATTCAATTTTTTAACTATTTTCAATCACGACACAAGTAAAACACATTTTTCTCGAAGTTCAACTGAAAAATTAGAAGTGTTATTTTCCTATTAATTTAAAAGAAGTATCAATTAAATATAAATTATCAAAAGTCATATTTATTTTATATATAATTTTTTTTTCACTTAATTTATAATTTATAAAATCATGAATTAAAATAAATTATTCTATTTACGTTCAATATTTAATTCCGGTGAGACAAACAAACGAAAAAAGCTCGTTGAATCGTTTGTTTGTCTGACTAAAATGAAATATTAAATATAAATAGAATAATTTATAATTTGATAAGTTATAAATTACGTGAAAAAAAAGTTATATTTATTTTAAATATAACTTTTGATAATTTATATGATATTAAATATAAATAATTTCTTTTCATTATTTACTTTGAATATAAATTGTTGATAATTTAATTTACACTTAAATTAACTTGACAGTAAATATAAATAGACTATTGCTATAAAAAGGTTCAATTGATTAAAATTATTGTTTTCTTAAATCAATTTCATTCGATTGAAATGGATTAAACACTAAATAACTCGATTAAAATTGAACTAAACTAATACCATTTCTATTGATTTTTAATCAGAAAACTTCGATATGAATCAGATTTTTTCCATTTTTTTAAAACACGAGGTAACTTGTTTTTTGCCTTATCCCGTAACAGTCTCTGTATCAGATCATTTCTTTTAAATATCTAATTTTCTGGAGTTGATAGAAATTGATGTATTTATAATCTATATGGCCTACTAACGAGAAGAACATTCACAGAGTATCCGCTGGGTTTGCCTCCATATTTTGCTCATATGTAGGAGACCATTAGAGTAGTATTACTTCTAAAGGGTTCCAGTTCATACTTCGATTTGCTCGAAACAGCCATTTTGAAGTAGATTTTTTCAGAAGGATTCTAGTTTTCGAAAAAAGTGATATTTTAACCTGAAACTTTATACATGAACACCTCGATTAGAGTATTACATGTATAAAGTTTCATCAATTTTGAATATTATATTGCCAAGATTTGGATTTCTCAATATATATTCGTATCTTACATTGCACTTAAAGAAAAGCGCAGAAACTCGTATAACTGGTGAAGTTTTATACATGAGATAGTCTAATAGAGAACTTGATGTGTACAAAATTTTAGGTCGAAATTCCAAAAAATGACTTTTTTTCGAAAATTGGAACCTTTCTGGAAGAATCTACTAAAAACTCGCTATCTTGATCAAATTCAAACATGATCAAGAATCCTCTGGAGGTTACGGTACTCTAGTAATCTTTTACATATGAACAAAATATGGAGAGAAAATAGAGAGGATCATCTGGAAATGTTCTTTTGTAAGAATAGAATTTTCAATTTTCTAGAAAGTAGTGTATTGAGTTTTTAATTTGAAATCTAACCGGTATTATAAAACACTCTCACAGTGTTCTCATTAAGTTTAAATGTAACAATATAAATAACTAATGATAAAAGAATCAACGAAATGAAAACAACATAAAGATGATCATTAAAATTATCTATATCTTATTTTTGTTAGTTTTTTTCGATCATTAACTTACAAATTCATAGAATATCAACAAGCCATATTGGTTGAAAAGGCACAAGAAAAAATTCACTTGTTTAATTTTTTTTCACATAATTGCCATCTATTAATTTTCATAGGAAAAATAAGTTTATCTTTGATGAACTTGACGAAATGATTGAAAAAGACTCTTATTCATTTTTTTAAAACGTACATCTTTTTTTACGACATTAATACACGTTAAAAAGAAAATTTAAAATACAACAAAGAACAAACTGCACATTCTTTTCGATCCTTTTTAATCCTTCATCTCCCATAGCGGTTCCACAAGAGCCACTGATAAAATAACTTTATAAATAAAGTATTAATCTCTCTAATATGCCAATGATATGGTCTGATCCACTGCATGTCTTGCTCCTAGAGTAGGACGGCTCGATAGATTCAGCGATCATGTGGTGGAAAAAGGAAATTGAACACCATCATGAGACTTGAGTATTTTTCTCTGACCACACTATTGAGTGGGCAGAAGCAACATATATCCCGTGCTTTAGGAATAATGGGAAAAGAAACAGTTGTGAACCGATAAAAATTAATACCAAAGAATGCATGCGATTTTTTACACGGATTGTCAAATGAGAATTCTTTTTGTTCTGAGCCATTTTATGATCTCAGAAGAAATATAATTTATAATAAATACTATGTCAACTTGTCATAAGTTGAAGTTTATAATGCATATATTAACTTTGTTCTTGATTGCCCTCCATCTGTCCAATAGTGGCTACATGGTGAATAGTGTGTCTGAGTATGTATAAGTCGTTAAGTTATCATGAAACTTTTGAAACATATTTTACTCATTAGTGGACTTCTTCACTCAATTAATATAACATAGAAATTTCAAAAGATCTCTATTACCTATGGATATAGAATATTTTATTTGAAAAGTTTCAATTTTTAAAATTTTTTTTCAAAACTATCGATTTTGAAGGCCCGATATTTCAAAGAGGGAATGATAAAAAAAAATACTCTTTTTACTAATTGATAGTCCATGATGTTCACTACAAAAAAGATTATTATCGTATTTGAATCCAACGGTTCCTTTATTTTCTGCAATAATTCTAAAAATCGCAATTCCAGTTGCCAATGGGGAGTAAAGGGTTAAAGTCAACTTTCATCAGGTCGTCGATATTCGACATTATATGGAAATCGTTCAAGGCCAAGATATTTAGCACAATTTTGCATAAGTCTATAACCACAATAATATCGAGCAGAATATTCTGATACACCGTTCAATCCATGTACACATCTTTTCATCGTCGTTGCTAATGCATCTATCCATAACCAAAAAAAAAAAACAATACTTATTCATTTTTTGTTGGTTTTTTTTTAGACGAAAAACTTTCACTTACAAATACACGGTGGATTAAATTTTGTTTTTTCATCAAAACATTTACCATACTTTTTTGATATATTTTCTAACGAACGTACAGTATCATGGCATACATTAACATAGTCTTTTTGACGAGAAAAATTCTTTAAACCCTATCAATGATATTGATGTATGTATATATTTATTTTTTTTAAAAATGTTAGTAACTTACATAATAAAATTCATGACATGTGGCTACTTTACAATGAAAAGAATCGAATAACGTTGCACTAATTGAAATACTTATCGATAATAGAATCAACGTGAAGAGAACTTTTTCCATATTGTATGATTTAGTTTTAATCTGTTATAAAAGACAATAAAAAATTATAGTGATTGATATTTTTCTAAAAATGTACATGCAAAAGAAAAAGAAGATTATTGTAAATATGTCAAGATATCAGCAGTACAATCGTCCTAATTTAACAAAATAAGAAGAAAAAAAAGAAACCATATAATATCTATAAATCAAGTGAATAAAATCTTTACTTGAATATTGTTTATTTCTAACAAACTATTCTTCTTCTGAATGTAAATAATATATATAGGAGTAGAATTTGAACTGAAAGTATAATAGAACTTTTCAAAAAAAAAATAATTTTGGTCTACATTTCTCTCTCTCTCTAAATAGAATATCAACTGGTTTCTTTTTTTTTCTAAGAAAAAAATCATGCAACAACATTGCGTCGTTGTTCGAGTTATCAATGACCTCAAATAAAACGGTAGTATGAACTGCATTCTTCTGACTAGAAAAAAAAAACATATGATTGCTTGATGAAATATAATATTAATAAAGTGTTTTTCCATTTTCTATTCACATATTTCAATTACGATGCATATAGGGAGAAATAACCGATACTACGGAAGACAATTAACTATATTAAATGTTATATTTAAGCATCAATACTTCGCGTGTGATAGAATCATTTTACAAAATTGAAGGTGTGGGTGTGAAAGTAGATAATAGAAACATCCACAAAGTAGAGCAAAGGGAAAATATACATCAAATACAATATTATCTAATTTTCTTGTCAGATATCATAACACGCAAATCTTATCAGAATTTTACTATTATAATATTGGTTGAAGTATAATTAAATGTCATAGAAAAGCAGAGCATAGTCTTTACTATTACAACATATAAAGAAAAGATTTTTTCAAGATTTCCGTACAGAAATAAAGTACTTTCGCTATTACTTTTGGATTGCTGTCAATGATATAATATTCTGTAGAATTCATAAGATGGATAAATGTATTAATAAATCTTACTTTTTTTTGAAAACCATTTGACGAATATAATATCCCATGGTACAAAATGGAACATAAGATTTTTAGCAGTATCCTATCCCATGAGACAATTTTTTCTGTTGCATCCCAACTCACGCGAAGTTCTGCGAAGCATCGAGTCTTGAATACAAATAATATATAAATATTCTATTTATTAATTCTTTTTATATGGATTAATTTTTACATAATATTAAAGATTTATTATAAATTATTCTATTTTTGATAGAAAATAGAGTACTACGTATATTGTCATTATTGATTTGATCATGTTTAAAATTTGCAATTTAATGAATATCCATTGAGACCAAGATATTATTGTACGTAATTTTATTAGTGTACAAATCACAATAGTATTGAGCTTGATTTTCTAGAAGATCATACAATAGGATTATACACTTTCTTACAGTTCTTATTAATGTCTCTTAAATATCAAATAGATAGAAGAGCTTCACAAAAATTAATGAAAAAGAAAACAGACGTACACAGACATGATGGATGAATTCATTCTGTCATATTAACAACAGATCTCTGCACATACTTGGCACGTCTTGTCGAGTGAAGACAGTATCATAGCATTTCTTCATTATGTAATGAATATTTTTAATTCCTATGAAGTCTCAAGAGATAAAAAACAAACTTAATGGGATTGTTCAAATAAAATGATTGATTGACTTACATAATAAACATCTCGACATGGTGCTATCTTAAAATGAAGATCATGAATATAAATAGCATCTATTAATGAATTGATGACAACAAGTAAAAGCTAAGTGAACAATGTCTTCACCATATTGAAAAGTAGAACGTTCTAATAACTACTTATTATATCTGATAGACGATCGTTTACGTGCTTTTTTGATTTATCTGTGAGAAATTATATGAATTTTATTTTTATTGAGTTCCGAAAATTTTTCATCATATTAGTATTAGAACTTTGAATTGACTATCGACAATATTTTATGTTAAATAAATTTGTTTCGAAACAACATATTTTTATCAAATATTGAACGCAGTTCTCAAATTCTTTCATTGTATGTATAAAGTGAAACATGTCTTTTTTTCTGAAATTTCAATAGATACACTCATCTTCTAATTATTTTTCCTTGTTGTTTTTCAATAAACTTTCAAATAATATCTGGTTGTCAAGCATGAAAGAACAAAATATTTTCTTCATATTTAAATAGAGTACTGGTAAATGACATTTTTTTTAAATTGCTTTTCCCAAAAAAGAATATTTTATTTGTTACTGCTACATTTGTGAATAACCATTTTGTTTAACAAGAAAGTCAAAAAGTACATCATCCTACATGTTTTAAAATCAAAGAAAGCTTGTCGACATTAAACAGAACTTTTGCTGTTGTCATATTAAATAATTAAAACGAAGAAAAAAAACGAGATAATATTAAAATATAAACAGACTAATAAACGAAACCTATTATGTTTTATTATAAAATAACATAAAGAAAGTCTCCTAAATGATTAACTCTTTGGCTACCACCACCATTTATAAACATCAGGAGCCTCATCTCTGTGTAAACCAAAGTGATCATTCATAATGTATGTTTTTTAGAAGCATTTGCATAAAAACAAACCCTAGGCACCATGTACTTTCCAGATCACCATTTTATTACGACACGTTATAGAACCGTTCCAAAAAAAAAAACGAATAAATTTCTTGGAAAATCGTTGTCTCCTTCTCTTATGTCGGTATTCAAAGGGTTAATTACTTTTGATTCAAGATCTTGTGCATCCTAAAGATCCTAATGGTGCTATAAATATCCTGCAAAAATTTCGCAGTATTTCGGCTTATTGATGCAAACATATTGCATTTTCCAATGTTTTTTAAGTCAAAACCATGACCTTCAAAATATTCAAAACACCGCGTCGTATTTCTGGATTTTGATTATCAAAAGTTGTTTTTTATTAGAAATAAACATGATTTGCGCAATCAACATGCAAAAATACATTGGAAACTCTATATTTCATTGAGAAAGACTTCCAATCGAATTTTACCTTAGAAGAGAGGGAGTACAGCCTAAAATTCTACGCGTAAAAGTTGACAAGTAGTAGAGCGAACTTTTTAATCAAAAATGTTTTGCAGTGAAATATAATTTTCGATGTATTTTTGCATGCTGATTCCGAAAATCACATTTATTTCTAATAAAAAAAAACAACTTTTGATAATCAAAATCTACAAATACGATCCGTTTTTTTTTTTGAGTATTTTATGTGGAAGAGACTCTGTGGATGTTGTGTGTACGTTTGCATTCAATACTCGTCTAAATCCACGCCAAAAATACTATTTTAAATGATACAAATCAATTTTCATTAGATAAAACTTCATATTTTAATGGTAATAGAGACCTTCTCTGTCTTATAAAAGAAGAATTCGAATCAATATTTGTTCTAAAAAAAAAATAAATCAAAAAAGAATTTCTTCATTCATTTTATTTCAAGTCTCATGACGACAAGCAAAATCCGATTTTAACTCACAAAATTTCACTTAGAATAAAATTAATAGAATCATCTTAAACATTCATTTCAATACGCAATTGTAAGTAACATGATTTTTTAGTTCATGAGAAAAGATGAGTTCAATCTCATTTCCTTTATTTAAGTCATTCTTCATTCTAATAAAAAAACAAGAGTTTCCGTTATTCAAGTGTCAAGCGTACATTTCACTACAATAAATGGCGTTATTTATTTTTTTGATAAATTGATAAACTAATTTATGATGTCAGATTATTTTTCTTTTTCTTTGTAAAGAAATTTCAATCATGAATAACAACAACGATTTTATTGAACAAAAAGAAAATATCTCTATTAATACAATGAATGTATTTGATTTGTTCTTGGTGTTTTAATTTTTTCTAAATTTTTCATCAAAAGATCATGAACACTTGTCTAAAATGAAACAAAAATTTAATTTAATAAAAGAAAAAATAAAAAAAAAACAAAACATTTTATTTACATAATGATTTCGAAGTTCAAGTGCAATAAAACGTAATGAAACAAATTGTTTTTCATCTAATGATTGAACACTACGACGATAATCTTCAACATGAGGATATTTAACAACTTTTTTAATAAGTTCTCCACGAGATATTAAATATTTGCATGTTAAATCAATATATTGTGTTACTTCTGTTTCTATTGTTCGAACTTCAGCCAATGAATCCTAATTAAGAAAAATAAATAAAAATTTCGAATATTATTATTTTTTGTTTTTGTGTTTTAAAAAAATTTTACTTCTTGAATGCTAACACCAAAATTATTTCCATCTTCAACTTTCGGTATCATTAATTGTATCCATAATTTAATAATAGCAACCTATTTAGAATATTTATATTTTTAATTAAAAAATAACATATAGAATCTACGTACACTATCAAGAAAATGAAGAATATACGGTCGGAGTTTATCCTCCAAAATTGATATAAGTCGATTTGATGGAACTGTACCATTGAATTCATATGTCGATGATTCACTAGAATCCATAGTATCATTTGAATCGATTTTATGCTTTTTTGTTGAACCACTATTATTATTATTTACCACTGATGTAGAATTATGATAATCCTTAAATGAACAAAAAAAATTAATTTAATTATAGAAGTATAGATTGAAAGGAATTTATATCTTGTTATTGAATTAAAACATTTATCAACATAAGTGACGAAACATGAGAAAGTTTCTTTAATATTTACTTTTATAATTAGGATTTAAATCTCGAAAAATGTCGTTTTTTATGTCTATATAATTATTAGAATTTTCATTTCTCTGACTAACTCCTTTCCATATGTATCGAACTCAGTTTCGCTATTTCAATTCGATTCGAGTAGTCCTCCTAATGCCACCTAAACAAAAGTAGACTATAGGTCAAAACTTGATTATCGGATCATCAAAGATGTTACAATAGAAACGATATTCGTATGAATTAATACTAATTATTACATCGATGTGTTATTTTTTAGCGCTAATATTAATCTCACACTA